TTGCCCAGTGGGAGACTCTTCCATGCTGCAGCTGTGATCTCAGATGCCATGTACATCTTTGGTGGCACAGTGGACAATAACATCAGGAGTGGAGAAATGTACAGGTTCCAGGTAATTTACTGACAAACAGGCTCAAACATCCACACCAATTCTGTTTAAATCCTTCTGGCTCTGGACCTGGCAGAGTTCTTGGTTTGTCTTACCCTGAGCTTGATGGCTTCACATCCTTCCTGCAGGAAGCCTTTTCATTTCAGATTCAGCTGGCAAAGTGATTGTGTATCTTTAAAATCTTTTGAGGTATGTTACCTGGACAGACGTTTTGGTAAGGTCAAGTTCTCAAGTTCTTCTGAAGTCCTAACAGATCATGGCAACTTGTTTTGGCAGATTATTGAGAAGTGTATCAGACAGGGTTTGCCAGGATGTTTAACTGAAGATGGACTGTTACCATCATAGAATCATCACTGCCTGGTTTGGGCTGGAAGGAACCTTAAAGATCATCTATTTCCAACCCCCTGCATGGGCAGGGACACCTCCCACCAGCCCAGGTTGCTCCAAGCCCCATCCAGCCTGCCCTTCAACACTGCCAGGGATGGGGCAGCCACAGCTCTGGGCAACCTGGGCCAGTGTCTCACAACCCTCTTCCATGTTACTGCCCTCCCTAAGTTAATAAGAAAATCTAGTGATAGTCTCTGTAACTGCACTGCTTTTGGATAGAACATTTTGAAATTAATTCTGTCTTCTGTGGGTTTTTATTTGTTTAGTTTTCCTGTTACCCTAAATGCACTCTGCATGAAGATTATGGAAGGCTGTGGGAAAACAGGCAGTTCAGTGACTTGGAGTTTGTTTTGGGAGAGGTGAGTAGAATTTCTTGAAAAGGTGCCAGGGGGTGTTAGTGTGTGTGTAGTTTGGTGGGAAAAAGCAAATTGGACAATGATTGTGCCAGAAACCCTGGGAATGAAGTTTCAAGAGTCACTGGTGAAAACGGTGTCTGTCTGGTTTAGTAAGTTACACTAATCTGGATAAATTTATGAAGTTTCAGAGGAGAAGCAACTTTTGAAACAGAAGCTGTAGGTCACCCAAATTTATTAGAGCACATTTGATAGAGTTGCAGTATGAAAATGATACTAATGGGTTCTGGACAGTCCCAGCTGGCTCCTGGAAAGAGCAGGTCAGGGGTTTGCAGATCCATGTCTCTTTCCAGGAACCATTTTTAATTACTGAAAGAAAATGGAATGAGGAAAAGCAGCACAGAGGAGTGATTGTCCAGTCACGAAAACAGTTACAAAATTGTAAAAAGAGCACATTTTCTGAAGAAAAACATGGGAAAGTTGAACTTAGCTGTGTTCTTTTGCAAAAATAAAAGTTATAAAACACATTTCAGAGATCAGGTAACAGATCCTCAACAACAGGTGAAGTAGATCATGAAGAACAGTAGCAAACAAACACACTGTTGTTGTGAAAAACAAAAATCAATAAGATTTTTGGAGCAAGAAGAGGCAAAATTTGTGATGCTGACTCCAGGCAGCAGCTTCCACTCAGAGAACCTAACAAAGGCTCTTTCCAAATGGTGTTTGCCTTGAGCCTTTAGGGAACAGGGGCATGGAATTTCATCTGTATGTGCAGAGCAGATGCAAAGTTCTCTCCGATTCTAACTGAACATGTAGTAACCCAGAGTTCACCCCAGGTTTCTGTGGCTTCTGCCATCTGCCACCACCCTGTGATGTGGGAATAGAAGTTTGATGTGTTATTCCTCTGCCTTTGCCAGAAGTAAGAGCGGGTTCGAGGTCACGCTGCCATTGTTACAGCCCGCTGCAAGTGGCTGAAAAAGAAGATCATGCAGGCCAGGGAGAGGTTGAAACAGGTGAGTAGTTTGGAAAAGTGTTCTTGTGGCAAGGTGCTGCAGAAGTTGTTAGGAAAAAGATGATACCTGCTGAGACAGGTGTAGGGCCAGAGCAGTATCTGATGCTCGGGTGCTCTTGGGCAAGTAAAACAAAGTGGATAATTATCAAAGAATCATAGAATCATAGGGCTTGAAAGGGACCTCTGAAGATAATTGAGTCCAACCCCCCTGATACAACAAAAACACCCAGGGCAGGTCACACAGGAACACATCCAGATGTGTCTTGAAAGTCTCCAGAGAAGGAGACTCCACAATCTCTCTGGGCAGCCTGTCCCAGGGCTCTGTCACCCTCACAGGAAAGAAGTTTCTCCTCAGGTTGAGATGGAACTTCCTGTGTTGTCACTTGGTACTGTTTCCCCTCGTCCTATCACAGGCACCACTGAACAGAGACTGGTCTGTTCTGGACACCCACCTGTCAGATATTTATAGACATTAATAAGGTCCCCTCATAGGCTTCTCTTCTCTAGACTAACCATCCCCAGGCCTCTCAGCCTTTCCTCATCAGACAGATCTTCCAGTCCCTTCATCATCCTTATAGCCTCCATTGGACTCTCTCCAGTAGGTCTGTCCCTCTTGAGCTGGGGAGCCCAGAACTGGACACAATACTCCAGATCAGGTCTCATTAGGGCAGAGTAGAGGGGGAGGAGAACCTCCCTTGACCTGCTGGCCACACTGTTCTTACTGCACCCCAAGATACCACTGGCTCTCTTGGCCACAAGGGCACATTGGTGTTCCATGGATCGCTTGTTGTCCATCAGGACTCCAAGGTCCTTCTCCATGGGGCTGCTTTCGACTATCAGTATTCACATAGGCTGCTGGATGAGCATCAGGCCAGGCAGGGAGCGTGGCATGGAGGAGCCAAATCCAGTTATCTGGATTTGGTGGTTCTTGAGTGGTCTCATAGCTAAGTTCTAACATTGTGGAATACCCCCGAGGAGGTGTATGAGCCCCTTACTCTGGGGAGGGTGGGAGCTGCAGGTCATCAGGGGTGTCCTGCAGGATTAGATCGGAGGGAAGGCAGTGTTCAGGTTTTGAGGCTGGCTCTGGTACCTTTATCTTAGTGTTTCCTGATTTTTTTTTTCCAGAGTTGAAGGTCTGGTGCCTCTGGTTCATTGTCTTATTAATTTGAACTACTTAGAGCTTTTTAGCAGCAAACGTTTGATTGCAGTTGAGGCAGTGGCAGCTCAACCTGCAGTAAGACACATGGATGCCTCATTGTCCCTTAGTTACCTGCTGTGCCACCCCAAAGCCCTCCAGCTGCACTGGGGAAGGCTCTAGGGAAAAGCTGTCAAAGTGAGACCTGAAAATAGCAGAGTGGCTTAAAATACTTCTGTATTCTGTAGGAAAAGTCTTCAGGCTTAAAATACTTCTGTGCAGAACTTGGAGCTCTGACTTTGCAAGGCAAGGATCTTTGCAAGGTAGGACCTGCTCCTACAGCTTCCTCTCCAAGGACAGATGCTGTTGCAGTGCTGTGAGCTCAGTGCAATTCATTCCTCCCTTCTTCTGAGCTCCTGCTTTTGAGCTTCATCTAGGAGCTCACGTTTGTTCTGGTCCATGTTGTCACAGGCCATGGAACAGTGAGTAAGACAGCAGAATTCCTTATTATCTTGAGGATAATGAGATCCTGGGTCTTGAAGATTGTGCAGTAGATGAGCAAGATCTTTCCTCTGGTTTGGTAGGGATGTGTGTGAGCTGGCACAGCCTTCCTGCCATCTTGGGGTGTTTTCTCTCTCAGAAATCAAAGCAAGATGTTGAAGATGAGGGACATGCAATGTGTCAGAAGGATGGGATTGGTGGGAATGTCAAGTTGTGCCGCCTGCAGCCGCTGCTGGAAGTGCCCATCCGAGAGGCTGAGGCCCAGCCCTTCGAGGTGCTCATGCAGTTCCTGTACACGGATAAAATAAAATACCCTCGCAAAGGTAGGACAGCAGGAGGAACCAAAACACCAGGAGCTGGGGAGCAAACATTCATAGAATCATAGAACCACTCAGGTTGGAAAAGACCCTTGGGATCACCAAGTCCAACCATCATCCCTACTCTACAAAGTTCTCCCCTAAACCATCTCCACCAACACCACATCCAAACGACCCTTAAACACATCCAGGGATGGTGACTTTCCTTTGGATGTAGAGCAGGGTGGAGCTGCTCTAAGCACTTCCTTGCTCATCTGAGATTACAGATAACTAGAGTTCTATCAAAGCACACTAAGAGGGCTTTGTTTTTTTCCTAATTCTTTCCAAACATCAGGGAAAAGCAGATTCTTGATCTTTCCAAAAGGCTTAAAAAAAACCCCAAACAAACACACAAACAAAGATGTTCATGGTGTTTCAAACATTACAGCAGCCTGCCTTCAGGACTGTGTATCCTGGGTTGGCTTATTTCCTTCTTCTGGCATTGTTTTGATCCCTTGCAAACTGCCCACACAGAAAGGCAGAGCAAGCCAGTTTTTATCATCTATTCAGAGTGCCAATCCAAAGGAATGCCTCAAGAAAGGAAAAAATTCATTTAATGTGTTCATGGAGGATCCTTGAGCTTTTGCAGGCTGGGAGGTAACACCAGAGGTGTCTCAGCTCCTGCCCAGCCCCTGTTTGTGGGGCAAGGTCTGGTGGGCTGTGGAGCTCAGGCTGATCCCAGGGGTTCAGGCTGATCCCTGGAGGTCTCCAGCTGGTGGGGCTGGAGGAGCTGCAGCCACATGGCCCAGGTATGTGAAGGGAGGTGGTCTGTCCTAATGCTGGAAGGTTCTCAGTTTCAGTGCAGGGTCTTTCCTTTCTATTAAAGTTCATTCTCAGGAAAACAGTAGTTTGTCACCATTGTCCAAAGGCTTTCCCAGCCAGGTGACCTGTCTCAGAGCAAGCCTGATTAATGGGGAGCAGGGAACCTTCTCACTGGTATCTGCATGTGTCAGGTCCCACTCTCGGCTGGTTCATGGATCCTCAGTGTGCTCACTGCAGGACAGGATCAGACCAAAGAAGGGATTAGCACTCCCTACTCTTCCCTTTGTTATAGGCTTCCCAGGCAGCCTGCTCCTTCTCTCCAGCCTATCAAGCCAGCTCCCCTGTCTGCTGGGATCCTGCAGTGGCCCCATCCTAACCATTTGTATTCCTAGTTGCTCCTCTCAGTTCAGAGGGCAGCACCTTGGGGATCCATCCAGAGGCTGAGTTAATGGAATTGGGCATGCTCACCAAATGGAATTTTCCTGATTAGACACAGGGAAGGCACATGACAGGCAAGAAGGCATCAAAAAGTAGTTACACCAGAGATCTCCTGTGAAGAAAGCAAAGGCTGTGGAGGATTATTCCTTGACTTGGTGTCCCAGTAGCACCATGGCAGAGGCCTATAAGGATCCCTACTGCCCCTCTCTTGCTTCAGTTCCCCTTTCTAGACCAGCCTCAGACCTGGACACAAGCAGTTGTGCCTTCATAGGGGTCTGACCAAGTCAAGGAGCTGCTTGTTGATACTGCATGAAGACCAGGGAGTTGAGCAGAGCTAAGGGCAGCTGGGCACTTTGAACAGTCAAGCTGCTAGCTCTGGAGCTCATAAGTGGTTTTAGAAACCTCACTTTCTTAAGAGGGTTTTAAAAAACTGTGATCCAGAGTGTCACAAAATCTTTGTCCAAACAGTCTTTTGGGGTGGCTCGTTCGTGCCTCAAGTCTGAAACTCCTTTTTTAGTATCAATTCAGATTTTGTCTCCCCAGCAATGGAGTTTTTTCCTCCATAAAAGTGCTCCAGTCACTGCCCATTCAGCCATTCCAAATGCTCCAGTGGGTGTGAAAAGAAATGCTTGGAGAAAGGTTCCTCTTCTTGCTCTGTGAGCTCTCCAGCATTTTTCTCTCTTATAATTTCAGGTCATGTGCAGGATGTGTTGCTTATTATGGATGTGTACAAACTGGCCTTGAACTTCAAGCTCTCCCGGCTGGAGCAGCTCTGCCTTCAGTACATTGAAGCGTCCGTAGATCTGCAGAACGTGCTCATTGTCTGTGAAAATGCCAACAAGCTTCAGCTGGACCAGCTGAAGGTAATCCCACTTTGCACACCAAGTAACTGATAAGAAATTAAAAAAAAATAACATTTCCGTAATGGACACTTTGCCAAAGCTGATGGCAGGTACAGTTGTTTTTTGTAGTTGCAGTGCTCAAGTTGTGTTGGATTGGATTGTCCTGCAGTTGCTCAGGAATATTATGTAGGGTTGTTTTGATAAGTGTTGGTTATTTTTGCATATCTGCCCTGTAGGGTGGGAAGGGCAGAGCGACTTTGGCTCTTCCCCAGTTCACTCTCATTGCAGCAAGATGGAACCAGGGACTCTTCATCTCTCCATAGTGAGTCAAGGGGTTTAGGCATTTGGTGAAAGTCATGACAGAGTTGAGAGCCCCAGGCTTCAGACCACGACCTGCTGTGATGGTCTGGTTCTCACCAACAGTGTCCAGAGCAGGTTCTGCTTAAAGCTGCTTAGAGAAAAGAACCTCCTCCACCCAAGTCCATGCAAGACCATGCAGTGTCTGTGCCTCTGCACATCAGTTGACCGTGTAGCTGATGACTGCAGCAGAGTGAGGACAGAGAAACCAGGACACACGAACATTTCCTCTGCACTCCATGCGCTGGATATGGACAAAGGAAGGGCATCCAGGAGGACAGCAGAAGGGTCAGCAGCACATGTAAATGCTGGCGCAGCCTTTGGTGCACAGTACCATGATGCCCAGAAGCTCAAGCAAGTATCCCAGCACTGGTGGATCTAGTACCAATAATTTGGGATCATCCTGCTACCTCCCTCTGCCTTCTCTACCAGCAGGATGACAGGGGCTTTTCCACACAACTCCATTTGGTGAGGATGACCTGGAGTTGGCATCCTGGCTTCTCAAATGCACATTAGTCCTCATGGGTAGGTGCCATCTGCAGAAGGCTGCTCTTTCTGGCATCCTAGTCATTGTTTAAAACATTTTACAGATGGGTCCTGGACAGATCCCTATGCATCACAGGTGAAATAACTTGGCAGCAGATGGACAGTAGTAATTATGCTTTGGATTAATTTGGTACTCACCTTATGGTGAACTGGTGTAGGTTATATTTTTGCTTATGAAAATGTCCTGAGGGAAAGTCTTGGTTCACAGTGGCAAATTAAGTGCTGGTTTTTGTCCCCTTAACTGTTCAGCTTCAAGTCTGGTTCATTTGTCACCTTTCTAACACATGGATTTTTCCAGCAAATTTGTCCTGCAGGAGCTCTCAGGCTGTTTGCAACCCTTACAGAAAAGGTTAAGGCAAAACCGACACAAGGAAACCCTGCAAACTACTTGTACTCTTAATGGATAGTGTTAAGAGTTGAGATTTCTTCACCCTTCTAATTTACTTTTGCTATCTAATTGTATAATAAATTATTATGAGATAACAACAAGTCTTGCTTAGCTCCATGAGGCTTTTGGCATCTCCTCAGATTCTTGTTGTAGAAAGCTTCTCATCACCTGGATGGGAGACAATCTTTTCCTTGTCATTATTTCTTAATCATGTTTATCTAGATGCTTAGAGTTGTCCTGAATTTCCTGCTCAAGCAGAATCCCAAATGGTCACTTAGTAAGGAGATGATGTTTTAGTAGTTCCAGCTGCAGGATCCATGTGGAGGGTTGTAAGAACAGGATGGATGTGACACGCATAATGTGGTCACGTTGATCTGGTGCTGTAGGATGTGTTCATACTGGATTTTTTTTATGAATATTGTGTTTTTTTTAAGGAACACTGCCTGAACTTTGTGGTGAAGGAGTCACATTTTAATCAAGTAATAATGATGAAAGAGTTTGAGCATCTTTCTTCATCCCTTATCGTGGAGATTGTTCGGAGGAAACAGCAGCCTCCTGTTCGCACCCATTCCGACCAACCGCTCGACATCGGTAACTCTGATGCTTTATAAGTAATTGACTGTGCTGGTTTTGCATTGCTAATGGTTTGCTCAGGGTAGGAAGCAGCCTGGGAAGTAGACCACTGCAGCCCACTGAGCTGGGATAACTGTGCGTAGGCTGTTTCCCAGAATCAGGCAGGACTTGTTAGTTCTTTTTCCAGTGAGCTTCATTTCCAACAGTATCCCTGTTAAAATACAGGAAAGGTCAGGCTAAAAATAGTTGTGTTCTTCTTGCAATAAAATATCCTGACTCTTCAGAGAGAGATGAGGCAGAAGGAACAGAAGGGTATAAAGAGTGATTCTAAGATAAGGCAGCAGAAATTCAGTGTAAGTGGAGTAGAAGGTCACAGAGCTGAGTGGGGGGTTTGCCTGCTCAGAGGTTTTCAGTGAAGAAGGAGCCAGGGTGAGGAAGAGGATTTCAGCAATAAGCCAGTGCTGCCAAGGTTGTGGTGAGACAGAGAGAAAAAAGAGGGGGGGAAAAAGCATGGAAAAAATTAACCAAGAGAAAGAAAAGTTAATGGAAGAGAGGACGGAGAGGAGAAGGCTTAGATAATTGATAGTGAAGATACTGCTGTTTATTTTTATTCTGTGATTCTGCTGGAAGATGGTTTGATTTACAATTCTATTAAGGAATTCATCAGGGACTGACTTGGAACAAGTCTTATTCAAGATTTTATCATCCTGACACACACAAAAAATGGAATTTCATAATGAAATATTTTGAGGCCACAAAGTTCAGAGGCATTGCCAGCATTGATTTGGAAGACTACACCGAAAAAGAAAAAAAAAGGGAACTTGTAAGAAAGATGGAGAAGCCAGTCCTGGAAGGTCAAGTAGAAACCTCCGGCTGGCATTTGTCCCAGGAAGAAAAGTGAGGTGCACCATCCAGGAAGATGGCAAAGCCAGCTTCTGTATCCAGAGCTGGAATGGTGTGAGAGACCCAAACATCAACAGAATTAAAGGATGAACTTTGAAAGTTATGAGTGAATTTGGATCAGACTTGGATGTGTTCTGTTTCTGTTATTGTGTTTCCAAGGGTTAATTAAAATGTTGCTTAAAAGGAGCCTTTCTTGATGATCTGGGAAAGCTTTTCCATTAAGAGACAATATTTTATATTCCTTCTGTTTGGAAATATGAACAGGGTGGGGAAAAATCAGATTTCTTTATAGAAAAACATCTTTATTTGTAGCCACTGCTGGTGTTATCTGTCAGAAGATGGACAACAGAACTGCCAGGTTTGTTTCTGGGATGGGCAGTAAGGGATTGCAAGAGGGAAGGATGAAGCTAATTTTCCTCCAATATTATAAGGAAGGGTCTGTCTCAGCCTCACCCCTCAAGGAAGGAGGGGCTGGAGCTATTGCACAGCCACCTATTAGTTTGGTAGCACCTGGTGACCTGGAGCTATCCTGTCTTTAACTCTTCCACTGTGTTAACTTTCAGGAACATCTTTAATTCAGGATATGAAGGCTTATCTAGAAGGAGCTGGGACTGAATTCTGTGATATCATCCTGCTCTTGGATGGCCACCCACGGCCAGCCCATAAAGCCATCCTAGCTGCCCGCTCCAGGTGGGTCCACATTCACTAAAAACTAAACCAAATGTGTCACATGAAGTGCTGCACAGTCAGGGGCAGCTGGGGTGTTTTAGAAGACAGGGAGGGTGCAAGATGCAGCTTTGCTCAATGAGCGTAATAAGCCTTTAAGCAACAGTGATTAAATGTTTTTTTCAATTTGATACCCAGCAGGGACAGAGAGGAGGAAATTGAAATGGTAGAGGTTCTCTGGAAGGTATGTAAGAAACTGCACTGCAAGACAAAGAGTCTGTAAAATCACAGGAGAGGAAAACAAGTGTAAAAAAAGGTGGTTTCAGTGAAGTGGAAAGCAACAGATGTCCACTGAGGTCAGAAAGAGTCTTCTGATGGTGAACATCCATTTTGAATCATGTGAAACGTGTGTCACTTTCTCACTTACTGATATTTAAGACTAGGTGTGAATAAGCAGAACAAAAAAATCAAGCAGAACAGAAACTGGATTGTTCCTCTGCTTTGGTGCAGAGGCAGGTAGTTCAGTCTTCAGAGGATGGGTACTGTTCTCCTTCCTCAGGGTGTGGGTGAAGTGGGTTTGTCCTTTGCTTGTGTGTTCTGTATGCCTGCACCTTTATGTTCTGCCAAACATGAAGTCTTCACATAAAATGTCTATTTCTAATACTGTCACTGTTTTTTTCCAGTCCCAGTAATAACATTCAGTATTAGTTACTGTGGTATTTTACCAGAAGCATTTCACAGCACTTAAAACAACCCTGCATGACTGGCAGCCCGTAGGTACCAAGGAAGTGCAGAATGCTTTAAGCTCTCTGCTGGGTCTTATGCAAATGAGACAAAAATCAAAGCACCATGTGTCCTAATTTTCAAGAAACAGAGACAGATTTCAGGTCGTGCTGATGGAAATGAGGGGGATTATATTTGGAGTCATCTCACAGGCAGACATCCATGAAAGAGGAATTTAGCAGTGGTTTTGGCCTAGATTGACACCTGAATTCACCTCTTTGGAAGGTGCAGTGCTTAAGAAGCAGCCTTTGAAAAATACTGGGTCAAACCAGCTCTCTGCAGAGTGTGTCACGTCAGTTTTATTTCCTTTTCCAGTTACTTTGAAGCCATGTTCCGTTCCTTCATGCCAGAAGATGGGCAAGTGAATATTTCCATTGGTGAAATGGTTCCCAGCAAACAAGCCTTTGAATCTATGCTGAGATACATTTATTATGGAGAAGTAAACATGCCTCCTGAAGACTCCCTGTATCCTTAAATCTGAAGGCACTGCAGTGTCTGTCTGGAGTGCCTCTCCCACAGCTCACCTGCCTTTTGCTCTGTATTGCCAGGCACAGCCTGGGAGGTTATTTGTCAAGATTGTCCCTTCTGTCACTGAGCTGTATTTGCAATCAGTGCTGTTAATTGTGGGTTACCTCTTTTTTTTCCTTAATGAGCTGAACAGCTACCTCTTTGCTGCTCCTTACTACTACGGCTTCTCCAACAACAGACTGCAGGCCTATTGTAAGCAGAATCTGGAAATGAATGTCACAGTGGAGAATGTCCTGCAGGTAACTGTCCCCAAGCAGCTTTAGTGAGTCTTAGGTACAGGAAGGCCAAAGGGTGTAGGGGAGTGGGTGCCCCCAGAGCCAGGTTCCCTGTGGCTTCCAAAGTGACATCCGCTGAGACTGCCTGAACCCTTCTAGGGACAGGGGCCCTGCGTGGCTGGCAGGAATCAGCCACGAGACCTCATCACTCTCTACAACTAGCTGGAAGGACATTGTGGAGAGGTTGGTGCTGGTCTCTCCTGGCAGGTAATTAGCAACAGAACAAGAGGGAATGGCTTCAAGCTGCAACAGGGCAGGTTCAGACTGGACATTAGGAACAATTTTTTCATAGAGAGTGTTCAGACACTGGAACAGGCTGCCCAGGGAGATGGTTGAGTCACCATCCCTGGATGTGTTGAAGGGTCGTTTGGATGTGGTGTTGGTGGATGTGGTTTACGGGAGAAATTTGTAGAGTAGAGATGATGGTTGGACTCGATGATTCCAAGGGGCTTTTCCAACCTGAATAGTTTTATGATTCTGTGAATGCAGGAGCACAGCCTGCAGCAGCTGGGTTTCCTTACCTGCCTTTTGTATCACTGGTGCTCCTGTGCTGAAATATTTGGCATCTATTACTGCACTGGCCAATAAGATGTTGTTCCTCTTGAGCTCCTCACCCCTCATTGTAGACCAGAATTTCTAAGGGGTCTTTTTAAGATGTACCACATACTCAGCACTCGGCTCCAAACTTTTTTCTGTAGACATTTGTACCAGGACATACATGTTTCTGGAACGGGTTGTCCAGGGAAGCTGTGGCTGCCCCATCCCTGGCAGTGTTGAAGGGCAGGTTGGATGGGGCTTGGAGCAGCCTGGGCTGGTGGGAGGTGTCCCTGCCCATGCAGGGGGTTGGATCTAGATGAGCTTTAAGGTCCCTTCCAACCCAAATCAGTCTGGGATACCGTGATGTGCAGGTGTTGTTAGTCTTGTTTTTTCAGTCATGCTGACAGGAACCAGGCAAGGAAGTTGAAGCTAAAAATAAATACTCTTTAAAAAGGAAGCCTCCAAAGCCATCTACTGACTATGCAGGCAGAACCCCCTGCAGTCCCAGCAGTATCAGTTCCTGCTTCTGGCTCTTGCCAGCATCACTGGGGCACTTCAGGGAGACCTGGCTCAGAAACAGATCAGCAGTTTCCTACTGATTATCTCCCGAGGACTCCATACATTTTAAACCCAAGGCTTCTTTTCAAATAGTTCAGAAAAGATTCAGGTTTGTAATGAAAAATGGGGGTATCTCCTTAGCTGAGAGGAACTACTGAGTCAGAACAATGTTTGTGCCCTGTACCTCTGAACCACACATATGGAAAAACATATAATTGCTTTTGCTGTAGATATTGGAGGCAGCTGACAAGACCCAGGCCCTGGACATGAAGAGGCACTGCCTGCACATCATCGTTCACCAGTTCACCAAGGTTGGTTGCATCTTTTCTGGGGCTTTTGAGAGCTGCTGTCCTGTGTCACTGCGCTGCCTAAAGGCACATTCGTAGGGGACTCCATTTCATTCATTCTCATGTGAGACAGCTGAGAGCTGGCTGCCTCTCACTGACACTGGTGAGGCTTCTAGGCACACTTTCCACACTAAAAAATAAAAGACTTGAAGAGCCTAGTCTGGAAATGTGAAGACCTTCCAAAAGAAAAGTTACAGACTTGCTTCCTTTGCCACTCTTGGAGCTGTTCATTTTGAGCCATCCCAGCCTTAGGTTCTTGTGTGAGCACCAGGATCAGGTTTTGGTGTCTTGAGGGCACAAATCTCTCTTTCACCAGTGGTTACAAGTGTGCTGTTCATATTTCTCTGTAATTGATGTTTATTGTCATGTGCTCAAAAGGCAAATGACCCTGTCCTGGCTGGGCTTTCTGCAGTTCCCGTGCTTTGATATGTGGCGTCATGCATTAGTGACAGGTTAAGAGCCTGATGTGCTGATACTTCTGACCCCACTCCAGAGAGGAATGTTGTCATTTAGTTGTTCCTGTGAAGTACAATCCCTCCATGATTCTATCTCATACAGGAAAGCTGGGGAGGGACTTTGCACCAGAGAGTGTAGTGATAGGACAAGGGGTGATGGTTTTAAACTGAGGGCAGATTTAGGTTAGACATCAGGAAGAAATTCTTCACCATGAGGGTAGGAAGGTGCTGGAACAGGTTGCCCAGGGAGGTTGTTGATGCCCCATCACTGGAAGTGTTCAAGGGCAGGTTGGATGAGGCTTGTGCAGCCTGGTCTGGTGGGAGGTGTCCTTGCCTATAGCAGGGGGTTGGAACCTGATGGTCTTTAAGGCCCCTTCCAACCTCCACCATTTGATGATTCTGTGATTCTATGGGAGTTTCCCAGCACATCCCGTTTGTTGCGCAACTATTAGCATTGTTGAATTTAACAGATCATAGGAATTGGGATTTCTGGATGCTACACACTTTTTGATAATAATTCCCTAGTTAGCATCCAAGTAGCTCTTTTTCTTCTCTATATTTAATCTCATAATCCTCTTGCTGTTGCCCATGGAGAGCACTGCTCAGTCCTGTTTGTCTCTAGAGATGAGGCAGAGGGAGGTTCAGGCTCTTCGTTAAAGTCCTAAGTGTAATACATTTTGTGTCTGTAAATAACTGAAAATGCATGAAAAGCTTTGACGGTGGAGCCAGCACCCAGGAATTACATGCTCCCTCGAGAGTCCCCAGCAGGAGGCTACAGCCTCTGCCTTCATCTTCTGCATTTTCTTCTGGCCTCGTGGATCCTGCAGAGCAGCCCAGCTCCAGCAGGGGATGGAGAATGGTCCTGCTGTGGGTTACAGGATAGCCTGGTGGTTGGACATCTCCTCAGGTCTGGGGTCAATGTGTTATGGTCCCTGAGAGCTGAAATCTCACGGTCTCAGCTTCCCAGTGGAGGCCACAGGGAGACCAGCAGGCTGGTGTGGTTCTCTCCAGAAGGTGCTGGGGGACTGAACATTGTGCCATTTCAACAAATGAGATTTGACCCAAGGGTGTTACCCAATTGTTCTCCAACAGCCAGAATGTGTGGAAATGTTTTATATTTAAACTGTTGACTGTTAGAACAGTTTTCATGAAAAAAAGTGGCTGGAAGACTGTCAAGCAGATGTGCACAGAGAAATCTGAGTTATGCAATGTTTTTCTTCGGCCTGAGAGGCTTCAGTGTGTGATTTTTGGCCTGGTGCTGGGTGACTCGATGTGTGGCTGGGCACAAATGCTTGCCCTTCTGCTCCCTGGCAAGCCACAGACTCTGAGGGGTGGTTTGTTCCAGCTGCGTAAGTCCAGTGTGGCCTGGAGGCTCAGGCAGGCCATGGTGCTGGGGGGATCTCTGGTGTTTCCAGCCTGGTTAACACTGTTCTCCATTCGGACCATTGGGGAGGTCTCCCCACAGTAAGAACATTATTGAAGAGCTGATCCCAGAGGTTTGCTGGTTTGGGCAATGTGATTTTAGGCTCTTGTGTGTCAGTGCAAAAGCTCTAATAAAAGTGCTGCTGTGAAGCTCTGGTGCTGACACCCTGCTCTGTTCTTCTGCAGCGCCTGCCT